CAACCACCAACCACCAACCACCAACCACCAACCACCACCACCACAACAAAAACAAAAACAACAAAAACAAAACGTTTTGGACCGGCTTTCGTCTACTAGGTTTGAAACGTCCGCTTCCTGTACTGGGAGAAGAGTGTAGTGCAGATCATGTCGTTGACCTTTGAACTTGGCCTCAGTCTCTTCATGCATGTACAACATCGCCTCATACATACGATTCACACCCCAAGAAACATTCTCTTGAGCCCCGAAGATAACGCAAAAATTGGATCACTTGACCAGTGAGCACATCATCCGATTCATGCCAACCTGACTAGACTGAAGAGTCAACCAAGCGGTGCAGCGGCCGGGAAAAACGCTCAGAATTAACGGGGGGACTGAGCCTGGAGACAGCGAAGAACTGGAACGGGCAACGGAACGAGCTGGGAGCAACGGAACGTCTCTCGGAGCCCAAAACCGACGAAGGAAGGATATGCAAGCAAACAGTGCTTCATTAAGAGACAAGTCTTGTCTAAGCGCACCTGTGCAATCCGAAAAATCACCTGAAACCTTTTGGCCCTTATAAGGTTCGTCGTTCATGAAGCCATTGTTTGGAGCACAACAAACCTGCTGCTCTGCTGATGCTTCCACTCCATCGTGGGTCATGTCCCCTTTCGCTCTTGGTGGCGAGAATGCACCCCACTGTTTTTATCTCCCTTGGGTAGGTCACCAAGATAAGAGGCACTCATGCACTCACGGTCGGGCGAAATGTTCATTCCATATGTTTGGAGTGAAAGAAAAGTGGTCGTTGGCCCGGGCAAATGTGGAAAAAAAGGCCCGAATCATCTGGCAGGGGTTCAGCGAATGCTTAAGAAAAGTCTCTCTTCTCCGGTCTCTAGTGACTTTAGTTTATGATTTGACTGGTCCAATCAAGTCACTGCTCCAGACGCTCACGTCTCTGTTCTTTGAAAGGGTCCTTTTCAAGGACTTCAAAAAAGAACGAGTCGCTGTGTTGCGGATTATCACCTCCCCCAAGTGCAGACGACACCTCAAAGAAGAGGGTTCAACGGAAGCCAACAATGACCAGCGAGTTTTGGCATAGGGATGCAAAACAGGTCTGCAATTGTGTTGTAACATCCCATCTCCTGTTACGTCGTTCTGATCAATGCTTTCTTTCCCCAACTCCTTTGAGATGGCCCGGCGCAAGAGGTCAGCGTCGGCCACGCGGCCATTATATAGTACAAGTCTCGGTGGCGGCGGGAAAGCTGAACGAGGAGTCTTCAGCTCAACTGGTTGAATACATCTTGAACTGGGATATTTCGATTCCAGCCTCAAAAGATCGCTCTGTATATATGCATCTATATGTATTTGTATATATTTGTGTGTATGTATATGCATATACAAATATATGTTTTAAATTTCAACACTCATACCTCCGGAGCAGCCAGAGTCCTTTTTTGTTTCGTTTGAAACACATGAAAACACAGGATACCCTCCAGCAACTGCACCAGCGTCTACTTCTCCTCTTTTCATGGGGTCGCTAAAGGGCTTCCTCAGTCCTTTCTACATCTGCAAATCGCTTCGAGAATCACGTGTGCACCCAATCCATAGCATAGAAATGGTACCCCTGAATGGATGATTCGGGTCATTGTTCGGTGAATACCGCCAAAAAAAGAGAACAAGCAAGAAGCAAGTTTGTTTCCACACAGTGGAGCCATCTGGACCGAACCCCTAAGAGAAAGCTTAGAGAAATCCTTAATAAATCCTCTTTGTGGGGTTCTTGATGGACAAAATAGCCACAGCAGCTGTACCCGAAATTGGAATGATCCCGTACATTCAGGAAGCACGACAAAAGCACAATAAAGAGAATGTAAATTTCTAAACTATATTATCCTACTATTCCTCGGGGGCCACCCAACTTTGGAGCCCCCCGGCCGCATCATCCATCATTCACTCCATCATTCGCTGATGCAATTACAGCCGGCGATAGGCAGTCTGGATGGGAAAGCAGGGTTTTTGTTTCCACGCGATGATGTCTCAAGGATCTTCCGTACTCTTTTGCAAGAACAGGCGCAACGGATGTCTTCAAGCCGCAACACGCCCAAAACAAAGCTCCAAAAAGCTTGTAAACTCTGGGCACGTGTGTAAACTGTTCGCCACGAAGACACCCCTAAATCCACGAAACCCCACGTGCATCTACGTGCATCTCCACCGCCACGCCTCACCTCTCCAGAAAACATCTCTCAGACCCTCTCCTCCTCAAATGCGCCCAAGTCTGCACCCAAGTCTGCCGCCTCGGACCCCTCCGCAGCGGAGCCCTCGGAGCCCGAACCGGACCCGTGGTGCTCCGGGTCGACCTGGTGCAACGACAGGACAGCACCAACAGAAGCCGGTGATGACGGTTCCCTAGACAATACGTGATCATTAAACGTGAAGATCACATCTTAAGAAACAAACCATGAACATCCATGAACAACGGGCCTGAACGGCTCGACGCTCGTTTGAAGAAAAAAGGGACAAAAGGTGTTGACGTCTGAAGCAACTTCTGTGAATGTGCTACTTCCGTATGATCTTCCGACGGATCCGTACTCTGGGACTAAATGTGGATGGCAGGCACGGCCCCACGTCGACCATCTTCCTCTCAAAAGCAGGCGGTGACCCTCAGTTCCGCCACCCCCATTTGGGGCCTCCGGGTCGATGTCAGCGGCTCCGAGGTCCATGTCGGCCGCCAGGTCTGCGGCATCCAGGATTTCCGTCTCCATCACTGCATCGAAGAGGCCAAAGATGAAGCTGCTGATGGTGGCCACGATGAGGAAGAAGGACATGAACCTCACCGCAGAAGAAGACCGGGAGTATGGTGTCCAAGCACATTCACAATGGGCCGAAAGGGCTTCCGGGGGTCGCGAAGAGGTTTGGGAAGAGAGGCGTTCGGGTTTGAGTGCGGGGGAACTCTCTCTTGGCTTCTCCCAGTAGCTCACCATGGTCACCCAGCCATTTAATCCAGAGGTTGTTCCATTCCTCTCCTCTCTAAAACTCCCAGCTAAAGTCTCAGAAATAGACCCAAGGGCTTCCCAGACTTCACACCACCGCTTCCTGACGACTAGAAAAACAACGAGCTGACAAGACCTCTGCAAAGCCATGGAGAGCAAGTCACCATCTTCGATCTCCTGCTTCTCAAATTGGACCTATCACCACACATCAACCCGAAGCCCTTCAAATCGCCCAGTCCAAGGTGCTCGCTGGGGAAGGAGCCCGGCCCAAAATCCAACCCGATGATCTCCTCCCGGTCTTCCGGGACAACAGCGTCGGTCAAAGAGTCGAGAAAACATCGGTACCGGCCAATGCGGCTGCTTTGGGGGAGGAGTTGGTTGTGGGTTTCTCTTCCAAAACGTGGGAGGACTCCCGGCTAACTCCGTCGCCGACTTGGGGGAGAAAAGGGAAACGAAGCAAAAACTGTAAGAGGGAAAACATGGGAAAACGAGCAACATTCCATGAAATGTCCTGCATTCGCACCCAACTCCAGAATTGAACTTGACCTTGCCAACCAGGGGAACCAGGCAAATATTGATTGAAAGTGTTGAGCTTGGGATGTCTTGGGGCTGGCAAACGCACTTCAGAAACCATCGTGGTCTCCCCCCTTCCCACACTCTGCATCCAGGTGCGGATCCTCACAAGTGCCCTGGATGCGCCAAATCGGAACACGAGAAGATCATGCCATACATTTTGAGTGAGAAATTGGAAATGACTATATATATATAGGTCACAAAAGAGGCACGGAACTGAGTCAGCTAGTTGCGACTGAGTTGGCACTTCTAGTGCAACAGTCTCGACTCACTCGATCGTGATCTTCTTCACCGAAAATTCCACCGCATGAATCCACTGCCCCACCCGACGCACCGACACACGGGCTCTCTCCCGACTGGTCTGCTCGGCTGTGAAGAGTAAGAGCCCAAACAACAAGCTCGCGAACAAGATCCACTGGGAGCTCTCCGCCGCGGTGTTCGTGCTCAGATTCGCATAGGGCCGCCAGACTTGCAGCACCTCTACCATGGTACCGTCGCTTGCAAGCGTGGTGGTCAGGACCGTGTTGCCAACAAGAGGAGTCCCCACTGTGCAAGCTTAAGTGATCACCACCTTAAAGGGTGCAGGGCTTCCTAAAATGTAACGTACATCTTCTCAAACATTGAACCTGAAAAATGCTTGTATAGAAATGTGAAATTTGTTATAATATACTGTATGTGTACATACCCTTTCTCCAGACATTTTTTAGAAAATGAAAGTTGCAGCACTTGTTCGAGGCTTGGGAACAGGTGGACCGGCTGTGCAAAGCAAGAAAATGTACGCCGAGTCTTTTAGACGGGGGGGGGGGCGTCTAGATGGCCCTAGATAGAGTATGGATGAATACGTGAGTCAAGACCAGGAAACCTTGATTAACCTACCGGTGAGACTTGCGCGATCTGTCTGTCGAGCCGACCCATCAGCGTCCGAAAACCACCACGATTCACAAACGTTTGACAGCGCTGTCGATTCGTCCTCTACTCGATCTACGGACTTGAGGATTTTCCAACATGAGCGTAGAACCGACGCGTCGGTCGGTTGGGTCCATCTCCATCGCTGCGCTTTTCTCCACGCGATTCGCGATCGAACCCTGAAGAACTCTCAGTCCGTGCCTTTAAGCTGAAGAGACAAAAGAGCAGACCAACCACAATCTGAAGCCATGAGCCAGGGACACAGAAGACCAACACGGCACTCAAAAAGACTTTCCGCAAGCACTCGAACATCTCGTAGTACCTGTCGAGCTATATAGCAACAGTAGCCACAGACCCTGCTCATACACCCCTCCCAACGGGACGACGGGATGCCGGGGACGGCAGTTCTTGGGCGTCTAACTTCGAACACACGGTAGCAAAAACAAAAAGCACCCCTGCATCATGGGCGGAAGACCAAAAGAGCTGAAGAAGCACACCAAAGGTACATGCTGCTTGGCTTGTAGTCTTCGAAGATGAATCTCAGGTGCTCAATATCTGGATTCTCTTCGCGCTTCTTCATTGCCGCCAGATACCCACTCTCTTGTGAGACCATTCCTTCCAAGACTGTCTGGCGGGGCGATCGAAAACACATTTAAAAAAGGCTGTGCACTGAGTGCACTGCACTTGTCGAGTGCACTGCACTTGTCACTCAGAGAAGGGAAGCACCACCAACCCCGGTCATGTTCGAAACCGGACACGGACCATCCATCCGAAGCACCGCGGTGCAAACTGACGACCCGAACAACCACCGGTCTGACGAGTCTGACCGGTCCTTTGTACTGCCTTCCTGTGTGCATCGACACCAAGCGGGGAGCCGTCAGTTTGGGCGCCGCCAGCTTGCGCGTGAGTTCCTGGAGGCCCAACTTCTGCACCAGCTTGGCACGAAGCACCGTGGACTGCCTCCCTGGTCGGAGCACCAGGCAGGACGTTTTCCGGATGTTCGGTGGACATGTTGGGGGCTTATGCTACTAAGACCAGCCACCTTGAACTCCAGCCTTTGTAGGCCAGCTGGTGTCAAAAGGTTTAATCAGTTTGTCAGTCTTGTGAGTCTTGTAGAAGCAACATGTTCACGAAGTTACGAACTGAGAGATTTCATACCCCTTCATCTACAAGTCATCAAAGCAGTTCAGACTTGGTTGCTGCTTGTTCAAACGTTGGGAACTCAAGTTGATCCACCTTATCCCTCCCATTCTGCGGCCTTCCAGCTCTTCTTGCGCCTCGGACATCTCATATAGGCTCACCTCGAAGGAAAGAATCCATAGTGAGCAGGGTGGCTCGCTTGGGTCGATGAGGTCAGTGGGCTAATGACGTTCGACCAACGAGGCCAGGTGAATCCGACCGAGGCATGGATCAAAAACTCACCCGGTCTCAAAAGGGTCCAAACACTCTTAAGACAAAACATCAGCAGGCAGTTCCAAAAAATAACAAGACAAGAAAAAAACACCACCAACAACAGACTGTTTTCTTCTTCTAGAAACACACCCACAATCTTCCGTGTGCGCCCACTGCCTTCGCACCAAGTCTCACCATCCTCCCCACCAAGCCGCGCCTTGGGTGCAATGGCCCGCCGGTATCTCCACAAGCTAAAACCAATCCACCCGGGGATGCCCAGTGGATAGATCGCCACCATGATCAAGGCAAACGTGGTATAACTTCCATGAAGCGGTGCATCCTGTAGCGGAGAAAAGCACCGGTGCAAACGAGACCCCATCTGTTTCTCTGTTCGGCCCGAACTCCTCGCACGCGCGAAGTGTCTAGCGGTCAGATCGTTGGGTGTCGGCGGGGGTCAAGGACCGAAGTCTTACAGTAGCGCTGATCATCTGGATCTGCTGATCCATACCGTCTTGGAATGAGTTGGACAAAAGGCCTGGTGTGATGCCAAACTTGGTGTCACGGGCCAAACTTGGGGGGTTAGATTGATGAGTGAATTTCGGTCATCCTGCATGTATGTTCCATAGCGTTCAGAATAGTAGAAGCAAGCACAAAAAGGACAGGAACAGTTCCCCACAATCTCATGCCCTGAAGATTATCTTTTGAGGTGTGCCATCAACCTTCAACCTTCCTTCCTTCCTTCCTTCCTTCCTTCATGCGCCCTCACCTTCCGCTCGATATTAAGGAGCCAAGCAATGGAGGTGAACTTTCCTTCGTTGAACTGTCGCTTCAATCCCTTATACCGGTTCCACTATGAAACCCGATGATTGCAGGTCTGTTTCCAAACAGAAGTCCACAGCCAAGTTTCTCGAAAAAGTCGGAAAAGTGAATCAATCAGATACAAACCTATGGGGAAGTTCTTCGTTTTTTCGAAACAGATTCCAATCGTTCCGGTCAACTCGTACCAATTGACCATCTGCCACCAAGCCAACCAAAAAAAATACCTTTGCTTCGAGCCAGGCGTCGCAGTCGAGGCTGAGGTCTTTCGCCAGGAATCTCCGAGTGTCGCCAGTGCCTAAGGGGAACTCCTCACACTTGAAGGTGTCGAAGATCGTGGTCACGGTGAATGGAAAGACCAAGTAAGTCACCAGAAGGCCAGCACCTCAGAATAGCTGATATTTTCCAGCGAAAATGAAAGCTTTTTTGTGAAACCAACGGGTCGGGAGGTTCACACGACTCCCTCCAAAGGGTCGTTCAAACGTGTTTGAGGCAAAACCTCCGTCACTCCCCGGTTAACGTAGAGAAAATGATCTTTGCTAACACAAATCCTCATCTGCCGGAATATTTGGGGTGCGAGGTCTAGAGTCTAGAGTCAGTCGTTTGACAGTTGTTTGCTGGGGAGACTTTTTTTTACTTCGCGGATGCCTTGGGCTTTAGGCAATGAAGTGACAGAGGACTTGTGGATACTTGTGGCATGTTTTTTTTTCAAACCTATGTCATGGTGTCCTGTCTACTCCAGACATGCCCCAACTGGTCTAATGGGATAGGACTTGTGGAAGGGCTAGGCTCTATTTCTGTGATTGTTCCATCCAAACTCCAAAGGCTCATGACCTAGGTCTTGTGGGTTTGTTGCCGCTTCAGCTTTGGCATCTTAGGACTTCAGTTTTGAATCAAGGTATTTTCGCTAACCTTTATGTCCTTAGTGGGCAGTATAGTCTATTACGTTTGAGTGTCGTAATTCGTGTAGTAAGGAATGTCAATGTCCAATATCTGTGCAGTTAGCTAGAATCATCCTCAATGAACCCTTCAATCCCCTTACACAAAGAAGCTCGTCTCCCAAAGCCTCTCCACCGCACGTGACTCAGCACCTCCCACGTTTCAGCTCGTCACGCAGAGGTTCGCACCGCATCACACCGCACCTCTCCACCAAGGGACCAAAGTAGGTCGACTGGAGCGGACCCCGTGGACCTCCTCTCAGCCTCGGGTCCCCCACCGTGAGCGCCGGCCGACTCAGGATGGCAAACAGGAGCGTTTGCTTCAACATGGATTACATGGATCAGTGGCAGAGATCTCTGCTAACATGTATGCTTGAACCTTTGTATGACCATCCATTAGTCAACGGACGTTGCGGATGTGCAAGAAAGAGACTCCCATCAGGCTCCGTTACCTCTTCGTTCCCCCATCCCTCCCTCCGCTTTCTCCAAACCTGAGGTGAGGTGAACTTGTTCTATGCTGATGTTGTGTTCCGAACGGGTTCCTGCAGAGTACACTACAATTCCTGTGGAGAAGTGGAAGATGACAGTCGAAATGATCGCCCTCTCCACAACCATCTGTCATGATGTGCTAGCATTTCTCAGTGAAGCACCTATATAGTTCTCATAGTCACTTATAGCCGCCCGCAAATAGATAGAAAAGTGAGTCCCTTTCAAAATGCATTGAAAACATGGAGTCAAAACCATTGTGCCAGGCCAGGCCTAAGCAGCCACAATAGTCTTGATCCTCAACACAACTGCTTTAGAGTCAAACTTTAAAATATGTCCAACATCCTCACACCCACACTATACCACCGGTCATGCTCAAGGAAAAAAAAGAACCACGGTCCACCTGGAATGGATGAAGTAGATCAGCGCGAGGATCAGCAGAATTCCAATGGGAAATAGGGTCGTGGCCACCAGCTGGTCGTAGAAGTTCGTCGGCCGCAAGCAATTGGCCGGAACCACCTCGCAGCGGAACTTGGCCACAGATTTGGCTCGGGTCAAAACCGAGACACCTTCATAACACGACTTGCGGACGCTATCTGAGCGCTCCCCCTACATCCCTTGCTACTCTCTGGTACCGGGATAACTTGGTTGACCTACCTGGGAGTGCGATCGCTACATGGTGGACTGGTTGGGCTCCAGCTGTATGGACCCGTCTTCTCCATTTGGATCTCACAGTGTCCAGGAGTGGTCTGGCGTCTGCGGTCCCCTGACCTTGGGTGAGGGAAAGGAAGTCTTAGACGAACGACCAAAACAGCTGCCCATTTCGGTCTATCTTTCAAAGCCCGGCCTGGCTGGGCTGGGCCCATGAACTCAAAAGCTGTGAGTTCACAGTTCAAAAAGACCGGCCCTCGACTTCATCCTCATCTCCGACACTACCAGGCACCCAAAAATAGTATGAGATGCCAGCCTAGACCCAGATAGCAAAGATACTTGATACTTCTTCCTTTATTTGAAGTAAGAACAGAACTCGCCTGGAAGAGCGACAAGTTGAAGATCCCCAGGGTGCTCAGGAAGCTCTGGAAGCTCATGGGCCAAGTGATGGAGGGGAAGATCCCCGGGAGCATGTTCATGAGCTGCAGCAAGGAGACGGTGATCTTCACCTCAACCAGCTCAGTGGGATTTGGCGATTTGTTTGGTGGGAGGTATATATATATGTGAAACATCTTCCGAGAGGCACACAGTGCGACCGTGCGACCCAAAGATCTCTGGAAAAATCGGATTAGACACTGCTCTTCGCACCTGATACGACTTGGGTTTTACTACGCCCCCAGCAAACCAGGAGTTGCAAAGGGTTGGTGTTTTAGTCTGAGTAGATGTGCTGGGCACCCCTATCCTCCAAGTTCGGCACATGCACCGAGACCAGCGTGGTTCGACACATCAACCAGGACTAGCAAAGGGGTGGTCTTATGGAAGGGCAAGGCCGGGCAAGGCCGGGCAAGGCCGGACAAGGCCGGACAAGGCGGCATTGTCCAAGGGAAATACGTGTAACCTCGGGCACCTGATGAAGTAGTCGAGGCTGGGTGCAGAATCAATCCCGGATAGTAATTTGGTGCAAAGGTCGCCTGGTTTCCAGAGGTATTCGGAATATACTCTCATTTGGGAGGCAACCCACATCGAACGGGCTTTTCCTTGGTCTTCCCGGTGCCTTGGTCTTCACCTCCTTCGCTTTGGAGCGAGAGTTCTGCACGGAGCGGCTCAGGACTCGCTGGATACGGCACCGGAAGCACAGGAGGAGGAGGATCAAGAAGAGACTGGTCAAGGCAAAGACCTGGGCGGTTTGGGGCCCCTTACACATCCAACATTATATTAAAGGTGCTGATCAATGTTCTATGTCATAAGGGCCGTGAGAATGCAAACGATGGAGGAAAAGGTTGCTCCTGCTCTTCACGTTCGCCACGCATGACAAAGCTGTTTTTGTCTCCATTCTGGGCATTCTGGGAGAGTCTGACGATGTAACTTCATGTGAGCTGTGTCTGAGAGGAAACTACACTGGGAAGGAATTGGATTTCTGGCCGATAAAGATTGGTGTCCCAACAAAAAGTTCCGCATATCTCAGCTGCTCTGAGAGAACTGCCTTGTTTCATCAAGAAAAGGAGTCATCTTTTGCCACCCGATACTTAGAAAGAGGCTGCAGAAAAGCGCGGGGATACAGGGCATCCAGTTGTTTCTGCATAAAACCTCGATGTTTCAATTGCGCAAGGAGGTAGCTCAGCTAGTCTGAATGGGGAGACTTTTTTGAAGAACAATCAGCCAAAGCCCACCCATCCCCTCTTCCCCTCCCCAACCTGGGCGGTCAACCGGACTTCCGAACGGGCGCGACGTTGTTCGGAAGTGGGCACCATGGACCAGTGAATCGGACGTTGTTCGGACTTTTGGCGGAGAACGCGCCTGGACTGCACCAACTGGCAGACTCTCTGAAGGACAGGCCAAACACTTGGAAGAACCTGGCAGAAGGCTTCAGAGCTTTCCATGAAGTCCCAGGAATTGGGCCTTATCCGATAGCCCAAGCAGTAGTCTAGTGTATGCAGTTGGAGCTCTTGATGGGCGAAAACCAAGTCCAATCGGCAAGACTTGTGTTTGTTTTTTAAAGGGGGACCCCCATAGACGGGTAGACGGGTCTATTTTCCTTCTTCCAAGGGGTCATTGCCTGGGAGGGCTCCGATGTTCAAAGCAGATTGAGATCCCCAGACATCGCCTGAATCGTGATAGTACCTCTCGGAGCACACCTGACATCTCGGCCCCTCATGTCCCACCGCGCAGGAGTCATCTCCATAGGCTGTGCCGCCCAAGCAGGCATCTCCTGCAGGAGTCAACATGGAAACCGAACCAGGCCCACCAGGACCTGAGTCGTTTGTGATGTCCTTGGAGTTTCTGTTTGTGACCTTTTAGAGCCCTAAGTGACCTCATCCTGATCTCAAGGACGGTCACTTTGCAGGTCCTGCTTTCCAGGGTATGATATTGTATCATTGCATCTTAGATGGACGGACCGTCAAACCCCTCAACACCACGCAATAACTGGAATCACTGTGTAAAGGCAAGAAGGTCCCGCATGCTAGTCCGTCCCTCTTCACACGGATCTTGGACTCTTGGATCACTTGATGTTAGAATCCCAAGATTTTCAAGCTGGGCCTTGCCCATCCCATCAGAACGCTGTTCAATACCTCGGGTCGCAGACGTTCCATTCGCACCAGTTCCAGGGTCCCATCCCATCCATCCCACCACCGTCTCCTGTGTGGCACAGCTGAACGTCTGAGGATCGGTGGCCATAGCGCCAGTAGCCCGTTGAGAGGTGCAACGTCTCCAAGACGGAGCCGCTCGTATTGCAGACCGCTCCTGCCATACGGGGGCGCGGTTTTTCATGCAGCGAACCGTCACTGATCTCCCCTCCGGCTGCGACTTCACTCCCGAAAGAGACTGAAGGATATTGAAGGATACTGTAGGACTGATGACTGGTTCTTTTCAATACTTGGCCAAGTGCAACTTGGCCAAGTTCTCGCTTCAGCTCCGACTGACGTCTGGCACCGAAGCCCGACGACGTCCCCACACCGTGCATCGGCCTCGCCTTCGGGGCACTCCACACAGCTGCTGTCCAGGTCAAAGAAACCGCTGCTGCAGCTGCACTGGAAGGCTGGGTCATAGCGTTCGCTATGGGGAGGACAGGGCTGGCACTCCGCCTGGAAGCAGAGGGAGACGACGGCGACACAAGGCCGCAGGAGGGAATCTCGCTTCACACTCCCTCGATTTGCAATCAGCTAGAACCAGAGGTGCCTCCGGGTCTGACCCGACCTACAGGCTCAAAGAATCTGGGCATCTTCGATGCCCCAAAACCCAAAGACTGCAGGACCCGTCTTTTTGGAACCGACAGCCGCTCACCCTCGCCTCACACAGCAAGCAGCTGTCCTTCTTCCAGACCTTGTAGAAGTTCGCCACGCAGGGCACCGCCGCGGGCGCCGGGAACTCGAAGCCCACGTCCGCCAGGCTGGGAGGGAACAAGACCGACAGCTCTTTGGGGTCGGGGCTCAGACTAAACGTGGGCGGGTTCATGCCTCGGTTTGGTGCGCGAGTCGCAAGTCGCGAGTCGCAAGTCGCGAGTCGCGAACCGAAGAAAGAAGGGATCCGGAACATTGGGCCGTTTCTCTGGGCCGATCTGTTGTCCATTCGGTTCAGGCCATGCACAGTGGGTTGAGAAGACCGATGAAAAGGATGGTGAGATTGGATTTAGCCCCCTTTTCAGAGTGTGTTGGTTAGGTAGTCTTGTAGCCACGAAGAAACGCTCGCTATAAGGTGAGTCTCGTTGTATGTTAGATTTTATGAAGGAAGCTTGCCGTAATTGTACAAGTATATTTGACTTCGTTCAGAAACAATGCCACTTACCATGTCTATATAGTACCAAGCTTTGGAACTGCTGTTGTACAGCGAGGAGCACGATTTTCAAATGTATTGCCACACATGAGCTTTAATCAAAAGCGCTAGACAAGGCCCCACAAGAGGCAAGTGGTTGGCAATATCTTTGGTCTAAAGTGCCGCTCATCTTCCAACCGATCTCACTTGAACATGACCCTATATATCCCTCTCATACTTGTGACCCCCCAGTTCTGATCCCACAATCCGCAGCTTCTCTTACACGCCTGCCCCTGCCCAAGCAATCTCCAACTCACCATGTGCCAAAGGAGCCATTGAGCTGCCCCCATGGGTTGAAGGATGCAGGACCACCAAAGGTACTTCCAAAAACCTCGTGTCCATCGGTCGGGTTCATCGGTCGGTCGATGAACCTGGAAACCGAGATCCTCTATATGGGATAGCTCATGTGAAGGCCGCCAACAGGGGCCTGTTACAGGTGTATGTTCGTCGATTTCTTTGAAGTGTCAAGATTTGCGAGTACCAAAGGAGATGGATGTAGAGAAACAGAAGCCACCTATCGATCCTTCTACATGTCCATAAAGCTTTCCACCTTTCCACCCCCTCCGCACCTGCCCGGAGAGCATGAGATCCCGCACCGCCATGTAGACGTTGGGATCCGCCGCCGAATGGAGCGGATTGCTGGGCTCGGCCACCTCGCGAAACTGGAAGACCTTCTGCACCGCCTGCGCCGTCGAACAGCCGAGGCCGCAAAATGAAGGCGCCTTCTGCACTCAGAACTCTGCAGAGTTGCTGAATTGGCCAGCGGGTGAGTTTGGTCAAGAGACTGTTTATCCCATTCACACCTGGCTTATATGAACAGTCTTCAAGTAATTATACAACTCGAATTCGGGACAATCCCAAAAATATGGCAACTGCGGCATTTGCTATGTGGCTTTTCTATGTCGTCGAGAGTTCCCGTGTTTCTTTTCGTCGCGAAAAGACGTCTCTCCGAAGCATCTAGAACGAGAAAACAAAATATCAAACGATTAACATGTCCGGTAGATATATGTGTTATATATATATATATGTTATATATATATATACATATATGTTTGTTACTACTTACTGCAGCTAGTTTTTTGGTTGCAAACAAGCACAGTAAAGAACAAGCACGATTTTTGTGTGTTGTGTCTTGTATCACTTTCCTTTGGGCGGCTTTGCCGAGGCTATGAGCAAGAGAAAACCCTGCCCAGCATGCAGGGTGTTGATCAAGTGGTTGCCATCAGTCAGAGATGTTGCTGAGATGAGCCTCCAAACTCAGTGTCCCTGCAAACTTGTTCCTTCTACCAGCGGGTGTATGAGGATTTTAATAGCCGAGCTTCTTGGGTCAGTATCCATCTGGGCGAGTTCAACACACACTTCTTCCCAGGGGAGTTGCTAAGTTGATTTCTCCCGGCACCACCGCAACAGGACTCACTCGGTTGACCTAAAATGAGGCAATCAAGGTGGCCCAAGATATCTGGCTTGGATCGGATGGATTCCCTTTGGCTACTTTAGAACCGCGCACGTGTGTGAAAGAGGGTTTGTCATGACGATTGATTTTAGAAGAAGCCCGTTAGCCATCCCAAGTCTGTTTTTGTGGGCACTTGACTGTCTACAAAAGCTACAGCCCTCATCTCATGGTGCCCATCTCATGTCCATCTCACGGGTGGGAGACCTGGATGAAGGCAGAGAGGGCGGTGGCCGTCTCGAAGTCATTCATGAAGCCGGGCAAAGACCGGTACTCCTTGCCATCCATGCTCAGTACTCCGTCTTGAAGTGCATCCGTAGCTTTGAAAGTCACAGAGACCTGCAAACACATGGATTTCATGTGAGGGTTGCAAGGACAACATGGGGATGTGGCATGGTTTGTGTGCCTTCGTTCCGCCCCCTTTGGGGCCTGGAAAACGGGTTCACCACCCACCTGGTGCCTGTCTCCCATCCATCAGTTCCCACGCGCTCCGCGTGACGTCCCGGGCCCTAGTCTCCCAGTCTTGAGACCCCCGCAGCGACCGGCCGAGCGACCGGCCACACCCGTAGCCTGGGAGGCGGAGAGGAGATTGGAGCAGGTGAGTCCAAGGCCTTGGCAATAGGTCGCATTCTTATCCGCCCAAACGACGTTGTTGGCATAGATGCCTGCACCGAGTCATAGGTTCTGAGGGGCAAGTGTTGCCACAATGGTGAAGAACGAGGTTGAGCGTGGATGAACTTGAATGCAAATTGTGTTGTGAGGAGAGGTTTGGAAGGTGTGGTAGGATTACGTATTGTTCAAATATTAGATATGCAAATGATGCAGGTCATATTTGTAAACATCATCAGCATCTGCAGGGCCCAGGTGTCAAACACCTGGCTATTTTCGGCAAAACGAAACAATAATACTAAACTTTCGTACCAGAACCTCTCTATTTCATTCTTCCGGGTTGGCAATGTGGCATCTTTGTGGGTGTTTCGCAGAGTTTCGCAGAGTCCTCCAGATGATTCAACTCCATGAAGTGCTGCATCATCTGTGATCATGGGGAGTTGCACCACCCACAATCGGACATCAACTGTTTAATCGGAATGTTTCAACCGGATCAAATGAACCATGGGGAGTCCCTGCAACGGCCACGAAGATGGAGCAATCAAAGAGCGGCATCGGATCAGAAGATCGGAGGATCAGAACTGGTTTTGCCAGTCCACCCTGCCTTTGGGAACATACTCATGGCGCTTCTCTTCGAGCTTCTGCAGGAGAAATATCAAAGCATCCTTGCTGAACGATGTCACAATCACATCCACCTGCCCGTTCCACCGGTCAGATCGCTGGGTCGCGAACGGCGAGACGGCCGGCCGGACCGGTCGCGGCCTGACTCACCAGCCACACAGGTGAAAAAGAGGATTTCCCCGTTGCAAACAGTCTCATCTCCTCATCCTTGTTATTGGCCTTCAGCCTTCGGTCTAGTAGCCTTCGTGGAAACATTCCAAAAAAAAAACATGTTTCAGGTGATGCGGAACTTCCTTCCTCAAAAACGTCATGGACACAAAACGTTGAAAATGTGACCCCTTTTTTGTTGAGGTTCTTCAGAGATCAGTTCTTCAGATGTCCGCCGAGGGTCGGCACTCTAAGACCAAAACCCTCTTCTAGTTGTTTCTTAATGATCAAACATATTACTGTCTTATCCGTATCCCCGCACGATCGATGAACATGTTCAACACCATTAGGTTTGTTCACAAATAGGTAAGTTTGTTCGCCCGAACCCACCGAACCATCACTTCAAACTACACAACTACACTAGGCTCTGTTTAAAGCATGCGCACACCAGCGCAACCAAAGAATTCTTGGAAACTAAAGCACTTGGGTCTAGCAAAAGATCCTAAAAGAAACACCTCAGTTGGCCAACAAGGACAAACGGCGAAGCCATGCCTTCTTCTGAACAGCTTCCGCGACTGCATCCTCCAAAACCTTCAGGGCCAAAGAAGAGAGGATAAAGAAAATATATAACCATTGCAGATCGAAAGACACTGGCACAACCTGGCTACACGAAACACTGGATATCCTGTGCTTTGGCCCACAGGAAAATCACAGGTGGCACAAAAATGTGTTCTCATGTTTCGTTGAAGAGACGGATGGAAAAAATTCACACGCGACTTGGGGGGCATGTAACTATCAATCGCCAATCGCTGACTCAAATTGTACAAACAACAAAAACTTGGAAAAATCCAAGCATCGACAATCTTGGACTCTCTTGTTAGGTCAACACCAATCTCCGAGTCTAAAGCGCCAAGATGAACCACAAGGCCTTCCATTCAGAGGGCAAACTGGAGGACCCCAATGCTGCCACCTGCGCCACCACCTGAAGTGTCGAACCAATGCTCACACCACACAGTCCCATCGCACGGCATTCTGTGTCTGCGGGTGTTTCCCAAAGTCCAGGACCCATTGCTGTCATTTTTCAAGAAATCAAACATGGCATCGTTTCTGAAAGCTTTGACTGGAACACGCTGCTACGGACTTCGAAAGCGTGGTTTCATACTTTTGGGGTTGCCGTGTCAAATTTCCCAGGTGCTGTCCATTCTTTTCAAAAGGGTTTGCCTTGCTTGT